AGGCGCAGTACCTTCCTCCATGCCCAGGAGCTGCTGTAGTTGATCTTCAATTGCCACAATTCATCCCCTTTACAGCGATACACCATCATCCAGGCTACCCACAAAGTGCCTGATTGCATCAACATGAGCCAAAGAAGCCTCAGAGAACAAACCCGATTCCAAGAAGTCAGATCTCTCAACCCTAGGCCACCTTCATTTTTGGGTAGTGCAATGTGATCTCAAGCCACTTTTGCTCTCCCTGCCTCCTCACCATGCCATAAGAAGTCTTGGCATACCTTTTGTATTCGCTTTAGAACCTTCTTTAGCATGATAATAATTTGAAGCCAGTACTGGACAACACTCATTAACACAGAAGACACCATTTGTAACTGCCCTGCATAAGTAAGTTTCTTCGATCTCCAGGATGTGTATTCAACTTTTTGGGAAAATAAAGAAGAGGGAAATTTAGTTTTTTGAATTTTTTTAGAAAAGAAACAAGGGGAACTTGGTGGTTTTGATTTGTGGGAAGACAAAGAAGTGGAAAAGTTTGGTTCTTTTAATTATAAAAGAGAAATAAGAAGCCAAATTTTGAGTTTTCAACTTTTTGTGAAATGAAGAAAGGAAGAGGAAAATTTGGTTCTTCAATTTTATTAAAGAGAAAGAGTAGGGAAAATTGAGTGTTTCTAATTTTGAGTTTTCAACCTTTGAAATATGAATCTTTAAATTTTATATGGAGAGCATTACTAATTAAATTTATTTTTATATGCTTTAAAGTTTAATATATATATATATATATATATCATTGTTTATGGTCTAATAATTAAATTAACCATTTGTTACAACAATAATTTGTTTTAGAAAAAATCACTATATTTGTCTACTTATTTTCCATGCTTCTACATTTATTGCAAGTGGTTAGGGTATAGGGTATATGGTGTAGAGTATAGGATATATGGTTAGGGTATAGCAAATATTACTTTTTTATCTATGTTTTGAAAATCAAAGTATGAATTTCACTTTAAATTAACTATATTAGCAAAATCACAACTCATAAGGATATATGGTTAGAGTATAGAGTATGTGATTAGTGTATAATCTATTGATGGTTTAGGGTATACGATAAACAACATATACTAACTAAATATTGTTGATTGAGGGTAAGGTTAAGTGTATAGAATATATGTTATTGAGTAAGCTATAGTTGAAGTCTGTTTGTCGATGAGATTTCTACTTGCACGCTGCTTTCTTTGGCCTTTGACTGAGATGGTGTTCACGTACGTGAATGGCCGTTCACAACTGTTGGTAGGATGCAACAAGTCTGTTTGTTCGCATCTATTGCACTATCCTTCTTTTGATGTTGCTGTCTTGGAGACTGCTCGCACAAAGATCGGACCACAACAGCTAAGCAATGGAATGACCTTTCGCTCTGTCTCGCCAGACTTGGCCTCATTTTAGTTTTGTTTGGCTTTGTTTGTAGTGGTTTCCGGCAATTGTTTTGCTGTTGCATTCCACTATTACATTTGCTTGCTGCCTCTTTTTTCCTCTTTGCTTTTTTCTGTAAACTTTCTCCTTCTTTTATTAATACTATTTCATCTTTATAACAAAAAGTTATAGTTGAAGTCACAACAATTTTACTAAATTTGATAGTTAATCTTTAATGGTTCAATTTTTAAGGTAATCCGAACAATTTTACAAATAACTTGTTTGCCATTAGTTTACTGAAGTTATTTGGGCAATGAATTATTTCGAAATAACTCCTTTTACCACTCTCCATTTTTATATATTTTAAAATAGTGTAATAAAATGTGTAAGTTGGTAACGAGTAAGGAGTAAGTTACTCGATGCGTTGACCCAAACAACCCGCAACCCGATCCGTCCGCAACCCTCCCGACCCAAAACCCGATGAACCTGCAACCAGATCCACCTGCAACTCCCTCCCCCAAAACCCGATGAATCCGCAACTCGATTTGCCCGCAGCTCGATTGAACCCGAACCCGATGAACCCGCAACGCAACTAACCCGTAACTCGTTTGAACCCGAACTCGATGAACCTGAACCCGATGAACCCGCAACTCGATGAACTGGCAACCCGAATAACCCACAACCCGATTGAACCCAACCCGAACCCGCCTGATTGACACCTATACATTAAACTACGGTAAACATAACAAGGAGGATTCAAATAAACATCATTTATATGTATATGTGTAACCAAGAATTAAACATTACATCATCTAAATATCCTTTAGGGTTCGCAAAACTATATGAATAACGAACTAACCACTTATGTGGACAAGAATTAGAAAAAATAACAATTTAAGAAGAGATTCCCAAAAATCTGGAAAAATGGCAATCTAAAGAGTCTCCAATTCTGGCAGCGTTATGCCCTCAAGTTTTAGGATCGTTTAGGGAACGAAGAGTTCCTCTGTTGGCAGAGTAAAGCCATGTACAAATTGTGTCTCAAATGAAAGCTGAGACGATCTATTTATAGGCTCTTCTATCAGGTTTGCTGGGAGAGAAAGTAAGAGCAGAACTCTCTAACTGAATCCCTTTAGCTTACCTCCACAAGTTAGGCCATGATGTCTCCTACTCGTACAAGGTGGTCCACTAGAACACTTTGGTCTGAAAAAACATGAAACACTACAAAAAGAGCATCAAAAATGTAAAAGTGATCACAGGAGCGGCAAAGCACAAATTTGAGTATTTATAAAGTAAATCTAAGTTATCAAGATGGCAAGGATATGAAAACGGTGTAAAATATGTCACTAGATAACTAGTCTTAAATATAGTATAATTTACGTGTCATCAGCTTGAAGCAAATGTTCCTTGTGTGCTACCAGCAAATCGAGTGTGAATCATCTCTTCCTAACCAGCAGCTCTGCACTGCTAGTATGGAGGATCTTACGTCTCTTTCCACATTCAAGATATGTTCCAAATGACATCATTTCAGTGATCAAGGAATGGTTGAGTCTATACTTCGTGCCCTTTGATGGAGTCTTTGGAAGGAAAGGAACAATAGAAGTTTCGATACTACCCTCATATGAAAAATTTTACAATGCTATATATAGCATTTGTATTATAGGTTTTTGTTTTTATGGTACTATTTGAAAGTGTCCATGTAACGTTATGGTACAATTTCATATTGAATCTATACTCTTTTTTACAAATTCTTTTATGCTACAACCTGAACTTGTACATTTATGTAATGGTACAACTTGAACTTGTATCATAACATAAGGGTACAAATTCCTTTGTGGTACAACTTGAACTTATACATTTAACGTTATGATACAACTTCAAGTTGTACATCAAAATGCCAAAACTTTATAGCATAGTAGAAGTGCTCCTCATATTATATCTCGTAGAATCGGAGGACAAATTGTTAGATGGTTGATAATAGCAAACAGAGTTGATAGTGAAATAGGAAAATAATGGATGGTCATGCTCAGGACAAAGTTACTTCCAGCATGTAAGAACAGCGAGCAGCCTTGATAATGTGCGACTGTGAAGAATTCATAGGTGGAATCAACCTAACAACAAGCTTGAAGATAATGGGAGTGGTCTTATTGGATCATCTTCTTTCTATGTTGTCTGGGCATCTTATGTCTAGTTGGCAGTTAGGGCTGTCAATTTGGTTTGGTTTATTAACCAAACCATTAAGTATGAAAAACCAAAAACCAAAAACCAAAAATCAAATCTCAAAAACCAAAACCAAAACTATTAAGGTCCTTATTGGTTGCCAAAAACCAATAAGGGCCTTAATGGTTTTGGTTTTGGTTTGGATAACAAAAAAACCAACATGTACTCATACACTTATATTTATTCCTTCCTCCTTTTTATTGAATAAACGTCATAATAATGGTAAATGACCATTACAAATTATTGGTTGGCATGCGTGTCAAAAGAAACAAAAAAAAATATATTTGTTGATAAATAATTTTATTCTTATGGGTTTCTTAATGGTTTCTATTGGTTTTTAGGTTTTAACCAAACCAAAACCATTTAGTTGCTTATTGGTTTAAAATAAAATAAAACTAAAATCATTAGCTTTCCAATTGGTTTGGTTTCGGTTAAAACCAAAAGCAAATGAACAGTCCTATTGGCAGTTGAGCAAAATTCTGAGAGTTTAGATATATCTATCGGCTTGCAAAGCCACTTTTGTTTCTTTTTCTTTTGTTGGTTCGTGTGGAGCATTTTTTTAGTTTGGAGTCATGTTCTTTCATTTTCTTTTTTTCTGTTTTTTTTCTTTAGTAAATTAATACGATATCACCATTATAAAAAACAAATTTCGAATAATATAGCCATTTCCTAGTCCATAATTAGGTAAGCATAAATTAAATAGTCTTTTTGTCAATTGGAGTAACTTGACTCTGTCTCAAGTTCCTGTTTCATTGGCAAAAATTAATTTAGCTAATTTTGAGTTCCCATTGTGCTGATAGACCATAGTGGCAGGTGAACCGTGAATGGTTTCACTAAAGAAGCCAAGAAAGCAGAATAAGACTTCCTGACTTGGCACATATGAAGTCCAATCGCCCATTGCAGAAATTTCTAGAGGTCTTTCCACTTTCACACTTTGGAGTGGGTTAGGCCTGTTCAATCAATAACTTGATCCAATGGCACAATGTTTGGCTAAATTACAAGTTTGGTCACTTAAATTATGAGTAAAATTCACGTTAACGATTAGAATTATTTTATTTCATTCATAGTCACTTAAATTATATTAACAGTCCAAGTTTGGTCACTGGTTGTTAGTCTCCGTTAACTTTTGCTGATGTGGCGGTCAACTCTCATAGTTGACCATTAAGTAGGTGACATGGCAATTAAAAAATAAATAAATAATAAAATTTAATCTATTAAAAATTCCACCTCATTATCATAATAATTAAAAAATAACCTTAATTCGACTGTTTGCAAAATCGAAGCCCAAATTCTTGATGCATTAGTATACACTCTATTTCTTACATGATGGCGCAAGAGTAAGGGTCATCATTGTAATATATAGTGCCCGCCGGCGGCAAGGTTCATTTGGTAGACATGGTGAGGCGGGCCACCGGCGTACCGTACGACCAAACGGCTGCCGAAGGCGGCGGTGGTTTGGAATCTTCCTCCGCCTTCTTGTCCTCCTTCTTCTTCTCTTCCACAGGGCCGAGGCTGACCAGTTCAGCGTGTCCCACTTTGTTCCGGAGCAGAGTGACGAGCACCGCCGAGTCGATTCCGTCGCCGGTGACCACAATTGTGGCACCCACGATTATCTTCATCGCCTTGGATCGTGACTTATCTTTATTCATTGAGACCTTGATCACTTACTTTTGCTGTTTGGAACCCAAATGAAAAATTAGTCATTCAATGAATCAGGACATAGTTAGTAATGAACCAAAAGAAGAAAACTCGACATCAAATATGAAATGGGCTTGGTGGTTTACCTTCATGATCGAGATATGGGCAAGAATCGAGCTAATCAAGCTGATTTGGGCGGGCACTATTACAATAATGACCCTTACTCTTGCGCCATCATGTAAGAAACAGAGTGTTTACTAATGCTTCAAGAATTTCGGCTCGTACTCCGCCGGCGATCGGCAGGTTCAGGAACAGGGTAGTCGCGGCCAGGTGCGGCGTGGTTCTGGTGATCACGGATGACGGGCGGTGTTCGTGGATACGTACGGAGGAACGTTCTTCGGGGAGGGGGTATTACGGCGATGCCTTCTTCTTCTTTGATTGAGCGACGGCGGATTAGAAAGGGAATAGGGATTGTTTGGTAAAGTTTAGAATTGGAATTGAATTGAGGGGTAAATATGTCAAATTGTTTCATTTTATAGTGATAAAATTTGAATTTTAGGGCGACGAATAGCGATTTAGATTAAAAATGGTGTGTTTGTTTTGTCGTAGTTTTTGCAAAAAAAAAAAAAATTGGTTAGAGTTTTAAAGAAGTACTTAAAAGAACAAGCAAGTGTTTGATCAATCAACTAATAGAAGTATTTTCTAATACTTGAGATAATATAAAATAACTAAATATTTAAAATTATATGAATAAAAAATATAATAATTTATTTGATTATAAATATTAGTGTTTTGTAATTTACTTTAATTTTAAATTATGTTAATAGAATAAAATTAAATTTTCTATAAATATTAAAAAATGAAAAGAATAATTTTGTATTTTTAAAATAATTTTTCGCAGAAGCTCCAAATTTAAACTTCGACTTTATGTTATACAAAACACTTCTCAAATTTTACAAAAATCAAACTTGTAGAAGTGTTTGTGCTCAACTTCATCTTTTGAAGTAAAAAAAATACTTATAAAAGTCGGACAAAACAGGAAGATGTGCATGTTCCAATATGTTACAATTTAGTTTTGTTTCATATATGAGAATTCATAGTTGGCAGAGTGAATAGCAATGACTAGCAATCTCTCATCACAGTTAATTGACAAAGTGGTAATACTGAACTCTATTTCCAAATAGTGGAGATTGAATCCCTAATGTCGTTATCAAAATATTTATATCATTTTTTTTTAAATTGGTGTGCATAGTTTTATGAATTGAGCATTGTGTTGCTTACAATTGTTAAAAATGCATATAAAAGAAGAGGTGATCTCTTTATCCGAATTTCATGAAGCATAACATGAGGCACATAAGCACTTTTCCTTATATCAAAATCAAACAAGACAGATATTTGTTACGATCCAAATAACTTATTCTACACCAAATCGAATGAATATCCACCTCTTTAATCACGCTATCATTAATAAATAAATAAATAATATTTGGAGATCTTCATATAAAGATGATGCCATATTCAAGGCGATTGATCTTCATATAAAGATGATGCCATATTCAAGGCAACTAAAAATCGCAAGAAGAAAATGTTAGTATTTAAAATTGGCTAAATTACACGTTTGGTCACTCAAATTATACAAATCTTTCACGTTTGTCACCCGAATTACTTTTCTTTCTTATTCGCCACTAACTTTACGAATCGTTTCACTGTTAGTCACCGGCCGTTACATTCTGTTAACTTTGTCCTGTTGGTGGATCGAGCGCGAGATTCTCTCCTGCTTCTCTCGAAGGAAACCCTAATTTGGTTCTGCGAAAATCAATTTGGGAATGGTTGAAAGTCGATTGCAAAACGTTAGTGACAAAAATCAAAAGAAAACAATCACTGAATTGAATGGCCCAGAAACAAAGTGAATGAGAAATGGGCTTTAGCCCGCGGCAGGCCCGCTGTTCAATTTCAAGCCCGCTCCATGCTTCTTCAATCAGACTGATTCTGGTTCAACCCTGTACTTCGACTGCCTCCTCTGTTCGTCCGAGGTGTCTGCAAAACAGAGTAACCAACTACACCAAACAACTTTAAGCTAGATCAAATTGACACTGCAAGAACACACTTTTTACGTGGTATCCGGTACTATTTGATTTAGTACCGACTAATCCACGGTCGAAGTATCTCAATTGAGACCTTCGACGTTCCACTAGAATCACGACAGCCGAACCCTTTACAGTCAATCTCCTGGCAACTCTCTGTCACCGATCAGACTCAGAAATAGTTCACTCCCCGCAAACCCTATCAAGAATACCCGCTATTCTACCAGCAATTTCCCCAACTGCTACTGACTCTTCTCTTCTCACTCTATCTCTCAACACCAGTACTTTCTTTTGTGCTTGCAAAGACAGAGTCTGGAAAAAGTGCTCTGTCCATGAAGTTACAATTAGCTAAATAGTCTAATTCTGACGACCGTTGCCCCGTGATCTCCTCTTGAATGATCCGATCTTCCTTTCTTGATTTTCACACACTTTCCTAGTCAGGATGATTTCAACCGTTGCTCAAAACTTTCCTTCTTCGCATATGAATTTGCAGTTGGCATGACCGAGCATTGACAAGCTTCTCACAACATACTCCCCCTAAGCTAGTCAATGGCTCCCATCGCTGTGTAGTCTTCCTGCACACACTCAGCAAACGTTTGGTGCAGTCTGTTCTCATGAAATAAATGAAACACTCGAAGGAAGCATTTTTATTTTATTTCATAAAACATAACATTCAACTGACACTTGACATAAGCAAAAAGGAAGAACATTCAAGCAACAACCAAACACTGCAAATCTAATCAACCAAGACAACTCACCCTGAGACGAACACTTCCTATCAAGATCTAGAAGGGATAACTGGGAGGTGAATCGTAGTCCGAGATATCGTCTTCAGTTTCAGAATCAGAAGACATGGGATCAAAGTCTTCAGGAGCAGGTACTGCCTCATCCTCTGGCTCCCCTTGTGGAGACTGCATGAGCTCCAGTCGCTCTTTGCACAACATTAAACCGAGCGATGCTCTGGTTAGACCATCCTGACTTGATTCAGCCTCTTTGATCCTAACTACTTCAGTATTGATGGCTGAAACAGCTGCCTTAAGTAGTGCAGGCACCAGGGCGAGAGAATCTCCAAGCGGAGCAGGAAACTCACCAGCTCCTCCCCCTGAGCCAGTGACGAGCTTCCGACGACCAACGTCAGCATCTAGACGATTGAGAATGTGGTTCGGACGAAGATCCTCATGGATGTTGCATATGGTTACCTTGTCACGCAGATCAAACTGCAGCCTGTACAGCAGACGCGTGATCAGAGGACCAAAAGGCAGATTCCCACTATAGCCTCCATCGCCAAACCTAAGCATGTGACAGAAGACCAAGGTGGCAAAGCTGAGTGGCTGACGAGCACGAGCGTGAGACATGATCCAAAGATCAGTGGGATGCAGTAAAGCTGAGCTCCTCAGATCTCGAGGTAACCAGCAGCGAGTAAGGAACCAGTGAAATACTTTCAGATCATCAGGGAGACGACCAGCATCGAGATGATTTGGGAAATACCGTCCTGTATCTTCAGTGAGAAGAGACAGGGAGGTCATGAAGTCGAACCCAAGTTCGTGAAACTCCCCATCAAACCCAGCCCGAAGACCAGTGTGAGGCAGCGACAGAACAGAGGCAAGCAGGTCTGGGGTAACCTTGATTTTGTGGTTATAAACCACAGTGGTGAAGAAGGATGGTTCAGGACCTGGCCCTCGTTTCATGCTGACATAAAACATCCTGACTGCCTCAGGACAGAAGCTGAAACGTTGGTCTTCAAGCAAGGAACCCCACCCGAGACCAGCAAGCATGGAAGGGAGATCCATACCGTACTTGTTGAAGGCGGCTGGCTGAATAGTGAAGGAGGGTTGAATGGAACGATTGCGAAAGCTACGTAGGTATCTGACATATTCACGACCAGTGCGAAAGCCCTGGTTGTTGAATTCAACGGCAGCACGCACTTGTGAGTTGTTAGGCATCATGATGGAAAGACTGAGAAGTGAAAGGATTTAGGGGACTCGACAGTTTTGAAGTAGAGTAAGGACGAGGCTGCTAGGCCCTTTTAAAGATTCTCTCTTCAGACAGGTAAGGAAGGAAGTCGAAAGAAATCCCTGATTTAGAGGGAGTTAGAGAAAAATCGGAAGGATGGAAAAGATCTAACGACATTGGTTTAGGAAATAGAGATCTCATCAAGACTGAACAGCCCTAATTCTCTTCGAATTGCAAGGAATTTATCACCACTTAATGGCTTGGTAAAGATATCAGCCCACTGCATATCAGTCCCTATAAATTCCAGCTGGACTTTCCCTTCCTGAACCAAATCCCTAATAAAGTGATATCTAATCTCGATATGTTTGGTACGAGAGTGCTGAATAGGGTTTTTTGACATGTTTATGGCGCTCGTGTTGTCACATAGCACGGGAAGAGTTTTAAGAGAAAGTCCATAATCTGACAGCTGAGATTTAAGCCACAAAGCTTGTGAACAGCACAGGCCTGCTGCCACATACTCTGCCTCAGCAGTTGAAAGAGCCACTGAGTTTTGTTTCTTGCTAGACCAAGAAACCAGGGAAGTGCCGAGGAAATGACACGTCCCTGATGTACTTTTTCTGTCGACTATACAGCCTGCAAAATCGGCATCACTATAACCTATCAACTCGAGACTAGAATCCTTAGAGTACCACAATCCCAGGGTTGTGGTTCCTGCTAAGTACCTAAAAATTCTCTTTACAGCCGACAAATGGCTGGCTCTGGGAGAACTCTGAAATCTGGCACAAACACAGACACTGTACAAAATGTCTGGACGACTTGCAGTCAAATACAACAAGGATCCTATCATACCACGAAACATTCGATCATTTATTCTAACCCCTGACTCATCCTTAGAAAGTTTGGCAGTTGACCCCATAGGAGTAACAGCCGTCTTTATATTACCA